CTCTTAATGTCCCATCTCCCCCAGCACACCACTCCCTTCAAGACACTGTTGTGTTGGGTGGCTGCATTTCCCCACTCCTATGGGGATTGTCATTCCCATAGCTGAAAGCTCGCTTGGACCTGTGCTCACTTTGGCTTTGTCCAGAGAGGAGAACCATGATTCTGTGGAATCATGGGACCAAAATCATGTTACTGTCTGCATTTGAGATACTTCCCCAGACTTCATAGAAGTAAGTGACCTGTTTCTAGGAGGATTATGGCTTCATATTAATAGATTTAGCTTTACATGTTTGTCTTCTTCCTGTATACTCTTTCCTTGCCAAAATGTACAATTATGTTGCAGATGGGTTTATGGAACAGTTGTGCATTTGTCTGTTTTCTGAAAGCTGCTAATATGATTGAAATCAGCATTTCTACTGTGATGTTTAATCTTACTGGCCTTCTTTGAGGCACCTCCCTCCACTCACTATATTTAGGTGTACTTCTTTGTTAATACACTTCAGATATGTTTCAAACCTGGTTGTTTATTTGCCCCCCTGTATTTAAAGGTGATATAATGTATTGGTGAGGACAGTACATGTTGGCAGGAGTGTATGTGTAGGCTCATGTACATGGGTGAAGAGGCATCCTTGACCAAGGTGGTTTGTGCATAGTTGCTTGAAACGTGTAAGATGAGTTTACTTCCCTTAAGAGCTCATCTAACCCAAATCAGTGTGGGTATGCCCAGGTGCTGGAACTACCTTGTGTTCTGAGCAGTGATGAGCTGTGGTGCCTTAGACCATCCCCTGGATGCTGTGAAGTTCCGGCTGTGCATGGCTTGAATTACTTTTACAAGCAGGCAAAGTTTGTATGAGTAGAGCAGCCCTCCTTGTGATTTCTGAGTCAGGAGTCTGTGTGCCCAGAGGGATGCGCACAAGTGACCAGGGAAGGGCCTGTGTACTGGGGAGAACCCGAGGCAGGTGAGTATGTGCAAGTGAGCACATGTGTGTGACAGAGTCTGTGTGAGCCTGTGTGCTCTCCTGTGGCAGCCGTGTGAGTCTGACTCGGGCCATTCTCCAGCTGTGTAAATACATTGCTTAGCAGACTGAGGGCTCTGGTTAATGATTGCCATGAGCACAGGGCCCATATTAGGCTCCGTTCTGTGAGCGGTACCCAGCTGTCCGAATGCCATTAGAGTGAACACATGAGCCTTTAATGTCAAGTGTGTATTGTTTGTGCTCTGAGGAGCCTCTGCAGGAGCTGCCCTGGGGTTGCTCACCAGGGGCTGTCAGGCAGGTTTATGGCAAGCTCCCTGGGGACCTGCTGCAGTGGCAACAACCCTTAACACCCTTCCCTAGTCAAAGCAAAGTCCCAGGCATGGTGTGCCCAAGGAGAAGGGCAGGCTGGCTAGGATGCTTGCCCAGACTACAGGGAGGCAGCTGGCCCAAGCCACAGGGTGGCAGGAACATGTTCCCCTCTCTGGCAGCTGGCTCTATCTGTTTTTGTTCTGGAAATACATCTACAGAGCTTTGCCTTGTGCTACTCATCAGGACCAGACCACCACATGCTGTGATCCCAAATGGTGTCTTGGACTAAGCCAGATCAGGCCTGGTCATCCCTAGAGCTGGATATGAACTCCAGTCTAAAAACGCTCCTCTGCAAGAAGAGAATTGAGGGATTTGGAGGTTTCTTAGCTCCAGCAAGGTCAGTGCCAGAGGTGCTGCCCTGTCAGTCAGGGAGCAGGTGCACAAGGATCCTGTATAGCTCAGGGTTGTAAAGGAGTGCAGATTGTCAGGATGTTGCTATGGATGAGGGAGTCAGGTTACTGCCTCTCCTGTTACTGCCTGCAGCTGGGCACAGGCCGATTCTCACTCTGCCCTGGTCTGTGGTTGTTGAAGGCCAGTGGTCACCTTGTGGCTGCTTGAGAGGTGCCAGGATGATGAGGCAGGATTGGGTGCATTTTGAGCCTCACTTGCAGCTGCATGACTTCCTGTGAATCTCAGCATCTCCTGCGTCTTCTCACATCCCTGACCTTCAGCCTCACCTGTTCTGTGCCCATTGTCCTGGCAGTGCCCTGGGAAGGCTCTCTGCCCCACACATTGGCCCCAGAAGAATACCCAGAAAGAAACCATAGCAAACTTTCCACCCAAAGCCTGGTGAGTTTTGTGGATTACTTTTGTCTGTCCTTTGGAGCCATCTTTCCCCAGCCTCTTCATCTGCCGTGTGCCAAAAATGAACGGATTCAGCTGCCTTCCCTAATCCTGTCTGGCATTTCAAAATGGAGGGGACTGCCAGGTTCTTTGTTCCCATTCCCTCTTGGCACTGGCAGGGGACCTTCTCTGCTCTGGAGAAGGACAAATGTGCTGATTTTTTCTGCCCCTTAGCTTTGAATAGGGGTTGCTATGTTACCTTCCAGCTCTGAGGCCTGCCAGAGCATACACCATATATAACCCCACAGCAGGTGGCTATTGAGTAAAGGCCCTTAAATCTGCCTCTCTTGTTTGTTATGCTGCTGGCCAAGGTGTCAGGGGGATGTAGCAGGGCATGATTTGCTGGCTGAAACTCCAGGCACAGCTGATGCCAAGCACCATGTTGGCATTTTCCATTCTCGAGTGCCCATCTTAATTGCAGCAGAGATACCAGCTAGGCAGGAACATGCTGCCCACACTGGCTTTTAGAGGCCTTTCCTGACATAAAGGCTGCTGCCCAGTGGGGCTGAGCTGTGACCAAGAGCCTTGGAGACAAGAGGCTTCCAGATCCTGCTGCAGTTATTGCAGCTCTCGGGGCCTGGCTTGGACACTTCCTAAGATCACTCTGATTTGCTGTGTTTGGGTGAGACAAACCATCCTGGCAGCTTTTAGGGGATATTTGTGTGTTGCTGCCTTGTGATGACAAGTTAAAACCCAGGCAGAGGAGAGGTGGAGGCATCAAAACATCACATTGCCATGCTGTTAGGTGTGTGATAGACCTGAATCTGAAGTGCTAAAATGAACCACTGTCTTCTGCTAGACAGAGTTCATAATTGTTCCTAAAAAGCCAAATTCTTTGAGGAACAGTCTCACAGTGCAGGCTAAGCAAAGGAGACCGTAGTTCCAGTTAGGAAAGGCCTAGAAAAGGAGCAGGGAGTCACATAACACCAGAGCCCAGTCTGAATCACATAGAATGTTAAGAGTTGGAAGTGACCTTAAAAATTATCTACTTCTAATCCCACCTGCCATGGATAGGGACACCTCCCATCAGACCGGGCTGCTCAACGCCTTATCCAGCCTCACCTTGAGCACTGCCAGGGGTGGGGCATTTACAGCCTCCCTGAGCAACCTGTTCCAGTGTGTCACCACCCTCACAGGAAAGAATTTCTTCCTTATGTCTAGACTAAATTTCACCTCTTCCAATTTGTACCCATAACTCCTTATCCTATCCCTACAGTTCTTGAGGAAGAGCCTCTCTCTGGCTTCCTTGTAGACCCTTTCCAGACACTGAAAGGTTCCTTTGAGGTCTCCATCCTACCTTTTTTCCTCCAGGCTGAACAGCTCCAACTTTCTCAGCCTGTCTTCATTGGGGAGGTGCTCCAGTCATCTTAACAGCTTCATGTCTTCCTCTGGACTTGCTCCAACAATTTAATGTCCTTCTTCTGTTGGGGACTCCACAGCTGAATACAGTATTCCAGGTGGAGTCTCACCAAGAGCAGAATAGAGGGAGAGAATCCCTTCCTTTGACTTGCTGGCTGTTCTGCTTTTGATGCAGCCCAGGATTCCACTGCCTTTCTGAGCTGTGATTGCACAGTGCTGGCTCACCTTGAGTTTTTCGACAACCACCACCCCCAAGTCCTTTCCTGCAGGGCTGCTCTCAATCACGTCTCTGCCCAACCTGTAGGGTTTTGGGTTTTTTCCTAACATGTTTGTCATTGGATTTTTTCCTGACCTCTGTGAAAATAGTGGTAAAGTCCTTCCCAAGAGTGATGGAAGTGCAGTGAGAGTAGGGGATGTTTGCATGAGTTTCTGAGCTGCTGAAGTTTCCACATATTCCTTGGGAATGAACTCTACAGGATCATGATTAAACACTGTCCTGGACCCTAGAGCAGTGAGACCTCCTCTCCTGGCCAGAAAGTATCAGTGAAGTAGCTGTCCCACTAGTGCTTCCCACTAGTGCAGAAGCATAAGGAAAGAAACAAACCAAAGTTCCTGAAAAGTTAAAGGAAAGCTCTTCACATCTAACAGAGTGGAATTACTTCTTTGGCACCATCATTCCTCTAGGATCTATGTAGCCTAGCACAGCATAATGGAGAACAGCATTCCTGTCCTGTCACACAGTGCAGGGAGTTCTGGCCTCCTTTCTCTGGACCTGCTCTGACCATGCTCTGAACAGTGGGAGCAAGAGGGGAGAGAATGTTCTTTAGTGGCCGTGGTAAAACCAGTCTGTGAGGCCTTGGGGTGGGATCTTTTCCTCCAAGCAATTCTCACCCATTCCTCATCAAATTGTGGAGTCTGGAACCAAAACCCTGGAGAGTTTTGGCATGCCTGGGACTTTAAGAAAGAGTGGTTTGTAAATTCTTATTGGAGAGCTATTGAAAAATGGGGCTGAAGAATGTGCTTCCAGAGATAACTTGGTTTGTCTCCATGCTCTAAAAGTGTACCAGATCTCTACTTCAAATAAATTTAGCTTTTCGATGTGATACCTTTTGGCAGTGATGCTTTTCTGACTCTGGTACTCTAAATGCATCATGGATATCCTGTTTCACTTAGTGGCCACAGGTGCCATGGGTTAGGTGGATCCTAGGGACCTCAGTCCTGGAGGAAGGGAGGTGTGCCTGCCTTTTTTATCTTGAAGGATAAGAGCAAGGATGCGAGCAAAGTGCTCCCACTGCTTATGTTAGTGCCATTTGCTGCAGGTGCCAGCATGACCACCCATTGAAGGAGGTGTAATTGTATCAGAGAGGGGGATGACAAAGCACTCAAGGCAGGAACTTCACCATTTGCAGCTGCCATGAGCACTGACCTCATGCCTGTTTCTGTTCCCCTGCAGAGCACCAACGGAGGCCGCCCGCCGCCCCACTTCCTGTACGATCCCTCCACTTTTGCCTTCCGTTCCCTCAGCACCTTGAAGCCGCTGAGCCCCATAGCTCCAGTGGAAGAACCGTCATGTGCCTACTGAAGGAGTTTCTCCAGAAAACCTCAGGAACTGTCACCCAGTGTCCTGCCTGGCAGGGAGCAGGGGAGGTGGTGATACCCAAGGGGAGGGGTGGGAGAAGAAGGGGCAATGAGACGTCTTTGCAACACAGCTGCTCCGGCAGGGGGAAGCGAATGGCTTGGCAGCAGTGCCTGTTCTCAGACCACTGATGGAGCCCAGCAGTGGCACAGGGAGGGAGTTTTGTCTCTCAGGGCAAAGCAAACCAGTCAGGTGCACAAGCTGCAAGAACTGCCACCAAGGCAGTGTCAAATGTGAGTGAGGATGGTGGCAACTGAAGATATCCAGGAGCTGTTCAGGGGTTAGTGTGACCTGCATGGCAGCAGGGGTGAGTGATCAAGCTGTGAAACCAAATTCAGTCAGTTTCCCAAGGATGCCTGAGTCTACAGTGCTTTGCTATAGACCTGACACTTCTCCCACTCAGAAGTGAACTCAGGATTGGAGAAAGAGGCTTACAGAGCTGCTTGCAAAACAAGAAGATCCCTCTCTGAGATTGTTATAATTGCATTCACATCAAGCTCTCTCAAGTGGAAAACCTGGGGACAGGGAGGTGTGTGGAGGAGTAACTGGCACATTTAACTGTGCATTCCAGATGATCTGCTGGCAGTTCAGTGATACTGCCCAAAAAGAGATTGAAATGGGAGAGTGAGACATGCATATGTACATCTGGGGTTAGAATAAAATTCTAGAATTGGAAAGTCTGTGTTGAGCCATCCAGGAAAATGCAGCACCCACCTTCAGTCCTCTCAGCATCATCCAAGAGAAGAACTTGGGGGTGACTGTGTGCCCATGGATCGCCTCTCTGCTGGGGCAGTGTGTGTTCTGGGGTATGTCACACTTCTCCATAGTATTGTCCCACTACATGATGGTGGATGTAACTGGTACCACCAAATTCAAACCAATTTATTGCCTCCAGCAAGCTTTCCACTCCCCTTGTTAAATTCAGGTACACTCCTCTGGTGTCAGTGAGACAGTATTCCCAGATGAAGCAAGGAGTGTGAAAAAGTCGATTTTGTGGCTATTGGTGGAAGAAACAAGAGGGGAGTTTGAGTGAAGGTGGGGGACATTTCTCCACAGACAGTTCTGAGCTGTTGGGACCATGCTAGGCCTTGCTGCCACTGGTGTTTGGCTGGGATCTGTCCTTGAGGTGTGTGTGTTTTGTGCCAAAGGCAGGAGTTGACAGGACAAGCTCTTGCCTCTCCTGTTGAGGCAGAGGAACAAGGCCTTTCCTCTTGCTGCACCTGGTGGAGAGAGTAACCTCTGGTGTAAGCATTGCCCACCATGAGCCTGTACCTGAGTGCAAGGGGAAGCAAGAAGTTTGTACAGATCGGGAGGAGCAACTGTGAGTAATACAAAATAATTTTTATTTTTTTAAGTCTGCCTCAGTGTAGAGTCTTTGCTGCTCTCTGGTTGATACCAATGGTCAGTCCAGCTGCCAGTAGGAGGCTACCCAGTGAGCTGGTCTGGGCCCTTCAGTGAGATCCCTGGGAAAAGTCCAAGGGCTGTAGGCTTTGGGATTCAGGTGGGGGACCTGATTCCCCACCCCCCCTCTTCTCCCTAACTCCTGTCATTCAGGCAGGCAGAGCAGCTGGGCAAGGTGGTGAGGGGATCACTGTCCTGATGCTTTCCCAGCTCTGCCTGCTCTTTGGCTCCAGCCTGTGACAGCTGGGCCACCCCCTGCACCAGCACCACCTCCTAGAGGTCACTTGTGTTTACTGGTGAGGGACCTCTGGCAGACCAACGTGGTTCCCTGCAAGTCCCTGTTTCCAAGAGACCACAGTTCCTCTGCTGATTCCTCCTGCCCCTGCAGAAATTCTGCTTGCCTTGTTTTGATGGCACACCTCAGCTTTTTAACTGCTGCCAGATCAAGCTGCCCAGTGCAGGACAGGAAGCATTGCTCCTTTGGACCAAATCCCTGTGCTCAGGGGATGGGACAGCCATAGCCTGGTACTCATCTAAGAGGCACATTCCTTGTGCAAATGGCTGGGGTGGCAGCCTCCTGCATGGCCCTGCAGCCTCAGGCTTTGCTCAGCAAGTGCTGCCAAGGTGCAGGGGCCCAGAGGTGTGTTCTGCCAGCCAGCAGGTGGGGCAGGCTGCCCTGCCCCAGGTGGGAGCAGGGAACAGGGATGTCCTGCAGATATTGTTGCCTTTTACTACTTTTGTAACTTTTCTGTCTTTTCTTTTTCAATCAGAAGAAAAAATAATAATAAAAAAAAATTGAAACCCCACAGTGAAATAAAGTGTAACAGCTGCTATATTCATACCTCTGGGTGCATTTGCCATCTTCGGGATGTTTGTGGGTGGGGGTATGGAGGAGGGGGAGTAGAGTGAGCTATGACACAGTGCAGCCAGTCCCAAGCACTCCACAATGCAAGTGAATGGCTTTGGAAATGGAGAGCTTGTCCAAAATGAATGCCAGGCTCTTTGTATGTGTACCTGCTCCATTTGAGGTATGGTGTACTGTCCCTCACTGGTGCTTCCCTCACCAATGTGGTGCTTTGGCTTTTGAGTAACTACCCAAATGGTCCTTGGCTTGTAATTTTAACTTCAGGAAGTCTTGCATGTCTGTCCTGAGAGTCTCCACAGCCCTTTTGTTTACAGCCACAGTACTTTTCCTCCTCCATAATTTAGCTGTAGTTCATCCCTTCCTCTAGATTTTGCTCTAAGTACTCCATCTCGGGTACTTGTAATGTGCATTCCCCACCCCTTGTTATTTACTTGAGCTAATTCCTGTCTCTGCCCCACTCCTCAGTCTGTATCCTCACCAGCATCTCACAAGGCTATTACCTATGTCCCCTTTTCCAAGGCCTCCTGAGAGATATTAGCATAAATTCCCTTAGCAGTCCTACTTAGATTCATTCCCAGGAGGCCTTTTCCATTCTTCCCTCCAAGCTCTGATCTCCTCTAGGCTTCTTGCCATCTCTCTTATCTTGAAATCCTCCCCTCTCTGTCAGCTGCAGCTTGTTAATTGGTCTTGGCCAATTTTGCAAGGGTTGTACGGTGCCTTGCTGGCTCCCCCGAGCCCTTCCTCTTGTACCTCCCGTACTGAATGCTTTCTCTGGGATGTGTCTTCCAGCACAGCCTGATCCCTCAGCACAACTGCCCTTGGAGCCCCAGATGCTGTTCAAAACCATGCTGGTGGCTGTGACTGCACAAACCCTAATCATCTGTAGGCCTCTGCCAGGTCAAGCTTGTTGTAAGTCTGTTTTGTGCATTCAGAGAGAGTGATGCATTGCCCTTGTATCCCCTAGGCTGGAGTATGGACACCCAGTGCTCCAAAGTCAGGGTACAGCCAGTGACGGGTGGGAAGCTGGCACACAGCTTGGCATTGCACAGCCAGCCCAGTGGCCAGGGCGAGATGGGGGTAGATGTGCTGCTGCTGCTGCCCCAGGGCTCTTGTCTGGATTTAGTTCAATTGTGCCCACCCATCATCTCTCCCTGCAAGCTGGGGCTCTGGGTTAATGACAGAACAGGGCAGCTTTTGTGGTGGAACAGAAATAATGGTAAACTGCAATATGGCAACAAGTCTGAAGCTCAAGGAAGGCAGGTTAGGGGTATTCATGGTGATCTTACAGGGTACTTTTCAGCTGTAGCTACCACTGTTACTGACGGGAGGATGTAAAGAGAGAGAGAGGAAGATGTAGAAAGGAGAGTGGGGGCTGTTGGCCTCCTTTAGATGCCAGACCCAGTCATGTGGGAACAGGTTCCCAAAGCCACTGCAGGAGGCATCAGCAGAAACCAGGGAAATGAGAGCTGAACTGTGGTCTTTGAGCCACGGTCCTTGCTGTAGCCACTGCCCCCTGTTTCTGCCTCTGGCATCCATCCTGCAGGGCTGATCACCCCTGTGGCTTCCAAAACAGCTTGTGCAAACACTTCCTCCTCTGCCAGAGCGGGCAGGGATGCTGGCTGAGGTCTGAGCACTGTGAGCATGGTCAGGTTGGTGTGGGTCCCTCAGGACCTCTGCTTTGCTGGAGCTCCTGGCTTCCCACCAGGTCTGGGTCCTGGCTCAGCAGGACAGCCTGTAACTTCTAATCTGAGTCCTTTCTCTGCTCTGAGCCCTCTTGCTTGGAGACGTGCAGGTGTTTCCCTTCAGAGCAGGGCTGTTGTGCCAAAGTGCAGCTCAGCTGCGTGAACCATCTGCAGGAGGGTGAATGGGGACAAGCGGCTGTTTGAAGAGCTTGGCTATGGCTCCTCTACAATTTAAGCAGGACCATTTAAGCTAATACTGTTCTCCAATTAAAGTAAATTAATTAGGTTAATGCTATGGCCTTTTGAAAATAGCAGAGAAGAACGAAGATCCCAGCAGTGGCAAAATGGATTGTTCCATGTATGCCCTGAGCCTCAGTGAGTCCCTTTGTAGCCAGCACACAGGATTGTCTCTTTTTGGCATTGTCCAAACATTTTCTGACATACATGTATGTACATGCACGCACACATGTGATATATATATATATTTCTGTCTCACTGTGCTCCATTTGTGCAGAAATCTCTGTCCTCTGACAGTCCCCCATGAGCAGGGTGCCCTTGTGCTCACCTGCCTGGCTCAGTCTGTGGCAGGGCTCCATGTGAAGCCCATCTGTGGCACACTCACCCCTCTGTGCAGCAAAGTGCAGTGTTGCTTGGAAAACCCACCCTGTTTCCAGCTGCATGCTGAGTGTTGACCCATCTGCCTACCTATGGGACTGACTAGGAAAATGGACAAAACCGGCAGTGCTGCTGGGGCCAGGGTTCTCACCCCAGGTTCCATGGAGGCCACTCCATGGAAACATGGCTTGGCACAGGAAAAACAGAAGCAGAATTTCCAGCTGGACAGACCATCTCATTCAAAGAACTTTGGGCTTTCCTGAAGCTGCATAGCATGTTGAGGCAAGGTGTGGGGTGGAAGAATGCATTCAAGGGTGTGTGTCAAGTTAGGATTGAATGGGATATGTGCTGATGAAGTGTGGGTATATAGACACAGTGCATTTACAGTGGTATTTATGTGCCTGTGGTGTTTGTATTTATGGCATATTCGTTATATTTTAATCAGAAGGATGTGTTGGAGGAGTAAAGATAAAGGGGCATGCATGCCTGCAAGTGTGGTTCTGGAAGGATGGATGCTGGTGGATGTGCATCTGGAGCATGGGCAGAAGGGCCTGTGCAGGGGAGGGGTGTGAATGAGGCTGTGTGTTCCCAGGTGGCTGCAGGCAGTGGTGCATGGAGGACATACAGATGGGTTATGTATGTCAAGGCAAGGGGGGTGCTGTTTCTTTCCTGTTTCTGCAGTGTTATCCATTATGGTAATAACTGGCAGAGTATCACACCAGTAATGACTGGAAAAGTGAAGAAAAATTTACTTATGCCTGATCTTGAGGCACTTGGGAGCTTTCACCATTGAATTAAAAACAAGCACACACGTGGACACCAGTGACTCAAGACCAGGTGATCTCAATACAAATTAGAGTGTGATTGTATGTTGCTTCTCAGACAAGAACTTCAGGAACATCAAATAAAAGTAGCAGGTGGCGGGTTCAAAGCAAACGACCAGAGGCAGATCTGCCCAGAATGTGGGGTTGTACTGGGGAACCCTTTGCCACGGGATGCTGTGGCTGCTTGGTTTTTACACTGCTACAGAGTTGAAAAGAAAGAAAGAAAGAAGAAAAAAGGAAAAGACTACCTAGGAAACTACATGCATAAATGCCACATCTGGTTGAGGAGGGTGGTGACTTAGGGGCATTTTCTGGGGTAGGTTACTGTGTGCCAGCCCCATCTCTGCCCCCTCCTCAGTGGCAGGGTCTGCTCCTGCCAGGGTTCCAGGTGTGCCAGTAGCTCCAAACAGGCACATGCGCCAGCGACTGACCCTGCCATGGCAGCACCACCTTGTGTGCATGTTCATTGCCTTTACACTTCCAAGAATTTCTCCCTGGGGAGGCCTCAGTGGTGACTCAGCCCTCGTGTTTGATGGTGAGACTGGGAGTGACCCCATTCACCTCCTGCACTGCTCCTGAGCCACTCGCTGATGTACCTGCATGGCTGCA